TTTTTGTGTTTTTTTGCTATGGATTGCTTTTTTTGCATCTTTTGCAGTGAAAGTACCTATGGTACCAGTTCATATTTGATTACCTGAAGCTCATGTAGAAGCACCCACTGCTGGATCTGTTATCTTAGTGGGAATTCTCTTAAAATTGGGAACTGAGTGGTTTTCCTTTCCAGCAACTGTTTTTCATACAGCTTCGCTCCCGAATCATTTTTGTGTTTTTTTGCTTTGCTTTTCCAAACGGGTTTCGTAAGACAAAGTTACCTTCAATTGAAGGCCAAATAACTCTTGCGAGTTTAATATAATGCAAGTATGATTACTTTTCGATGCAGGTCTGTTTATCAGGAATCCGATTCGGATGCAGGTCTGTTTATAAACAGTTGATGGGTGCATTCAGCCACTTGTGCTGGCACTGCTGGGTGTTTATAAAAGCCTTTTGGCCCAATTCAAGTTTTGGCCACTGTGGAAGGATCTGGTCTTCACTCTTGACTAAGTGTTATTCTGCCTTTGTAATGCCTGGATCATGCTGGATGGATGGGTGGCTGTAAAATTAATGCAGGTTGGCATCAATAGAGTCAAACTTCCTTCGCAGGAGTTTGGAGCGATCTACATGAAGGATTTCCTGAACGCTCTTACTGAGAGCATCATCATGACGGTGAATCTTCTCTGAAATCTATAACTGCAGTCTTCTAAAGATCGACTAATATCAATTAGACGCACTGTTCCGACTTCCCACATGTTTATAAAGGATATTTCTTCCCTCCTGCAGACTGAGTGAAGACGCACATCAGATGCCTATCGCTTATGTCAAGCTTCCTTTTCTTTTTTTTTTTTCTTTTTTTTTTTGAACTGTATTTGCTAGCCTATTTTCTTCTCTCAAATTTTGTAACTACCTCATCCTTAACTACCTACCTACCCTTGTCTAGTAGTCCGACCAGAATCCCGACCTTAATCCAGCGATGGGAAGCAAGGTATTCCACTGGTTCAGGACGAGACTGGAGCTAGGATCTAGGGCTAGGGTCGAAGACTACCTTAAATTTACTAACCAGAACTAAGTTATCCTAAGGTTATGGGTCTACGTCTACCTAGATCTGCTCTGCTCTGTGCGGGGAGCAGTACCCAAGCTCCTTACACCTGGCATGGGCTGCTACGCACAACCACCCAGGAGGCCCTAGCCAACAATCTCCGCTGGTGAACCTGAAGCATCTCCCAGGAGGCCGTGGGGATCGAGAGGACGACGTTGGGTATCGAACCCACGACCTACTGAGTGCCACTTACATGCTCAACCAACTGAGCTAGCCCGCTCGGGCTGCTTTTCTTTTCTTTTCTTTTTTCTCTTTTTTTTATTTATAAAGAAGGTAATTTTATTGTAACAGCTGGAAAACCAGGTGACCAAGCTTCCTTTGTTTTTCCTTCGCTTTCTCAAAATTTAATGCCGTTGTGAGCTGCAAGGTTAAGAACAGTATCTCAGCCAGAACAGAACAGAGCATTCCCCTGTTTTATTACAGAAAGCCCCTGCCTTATAGCATGTGATTTTCAGGGGACTGGTTGAGCTCGTCTCTTTTTTTTTTTGCCATTCCTTTTTTTCCTTTCTTTTTTTTTTTCTTGTTTTTTGCTAATAACAATATCTCAGTTCTGTCTCTAGAATTGAACCCTAGTTCTCTCTCACCCATGACCACCATGGTCGGCCTCTAATCATGGCCCTCTATCTGAGTCTAATATCCTACCATCTAACCTTGATAGGGAGGGAAGAGATTTGCATGGACCATCCCACGTTTTGCTTGAACGGTTGAACCCCATGCGATTCGACAAGTCCCCATGAATCAGATTCTCCCCTTATGAATACATTGAGTAGTACTCCTTTGTACTTTTGTACATTTCACCCCCCCTTGCCCACCAGGTAGAACGTTCTCTCACAAGCAAAACACTTAATATTGTGATGCCGCACACGCCCCCTTGTCAGAAAACCAATGATCCGAACCAGATTTTGAAGAGTCCTGCACGAAGTCAGACTCACCTTGGATTGATTTTCTGACGAGCTTCGAGCACTGACATTGCCCCCTTGTCAGAAAATCAGTGATATCGATCTCTTCAATGATGGCAATGTGGCTGTGCGCTTTCTTTTATCACTTGCCAATGGATGGGACCTTCGCAATCGTCATCATTTTCATGGTGTTGATGAAGCACGGCATTGCCTGAGAATAATCTAATCATTCTAATGGTATGCTCTCTGAGTGCTATCTGCCCAACCCTCATCATCATGCTAACCAACGAGACTTGGAAGAAAATAATATGCTCCCCCCTTACTGCTATAAGAACTCACTCTACACGGGAGTGACGGGAGTCAACCCCCCCCCCCTCCCCCCACCCCGCCTTCCCCTCCCCTTGCCCCCACACCCCCCCCCTTCCGTGGACTGGGATATAATTGCAGACTGAAGGTTCTGTGTGGTTATGTCTGACTTCGTGCAGGACTCTTCTAAATATGGTTGTCACCAAAATGGTGTCGTAAAAGTAATGACCGAGCTCATCTCCGACCAACGCGCTGCAGATGCATTCAATCATAGCAATGGCACGGTCAGCACCCTGGCCACGGTGACCTCAGAACGATCATCTCGAACAGAGCAAGAAAATGGCTGTCATCAGTGTCATGACCTCCCAGCCCGTGTGCTATCCACTCGCAGGAGAACGTCACGTGAAGGTACGAATGAGAGTGGTTGTGTTTGTCTGTTTGCCAGATTCAGCCGGAACACAACGATATGCTAATTACATAGCATCATTATGTCAGATCTGGTACTGATTGTTTTCGTAGTGTGAACTGGACCACGTTCGTATGTAAGCTACAACAAGGAAAGGCCATATCAAGTCTTTATCCTAATCTACCTTGTAGTACTCTGTATATCTTCCTCCGTTGTCTTTGACAAGCTCATGTGTTATCTGTACTGATCGGTTTGTTGTCTTTTCTTTTTCCCTCTTTTTTTTTTCCATTTCTCGATTTATGTGTGTCATTCTTGTGCAGGGGCCATGCTAATCATCTCTGTAGCGATCCAATTTTAACAGACGGATGATGCCCAAAGGACGAGTGCTGATCGGTTTGATATCTGAGTACTAAATGAGAGCAAACGAGTGACTCAGAATTTTATTTTATCATGACCATACGGCTGAGACTCTTCCGGTCATTCTTGCACTTCCCACCCACCCCCAAACCCGCAAACTCCACCCCTAATCCTTATATAATATATAGTATATACACACACCCCCACCCTGTTATCTGAGATTCCAATGCCTGTGTGATCATAACATGAACGTTTTCCATCACAGGAAGGTAGATGAGCATATTGCCAGTGGTGTGCGGATGTCCAGGAGCTTAGCCCTGAATGATCTCAGCATGGTTTTTTTTTTTTTTTTTTTTTTTTTCAAAAACAAAGCTATGCTATTCTTCTCACAGTTTCTTCATGTCGCACTACCTTCTTCCCTCAAATACAACGCATGGTCATTATAGCTGCATTTGGGGCATCTTTTAGACTATGCGAGGCACAATGCCTCGATGACCCCTTCTGGGTCCCTATTTGCATCAGTGTCGGCCTCCCTAAGTGATGGCAGGCTCGACAGACGACAAGAGGCCTATTTTGGACTGCTTTGCAACTGGGGGAAAATTCAGGCAGTTGCGCAGCGCCAGTTGGTTGAAAGCGCCCAGGCCCTGGCCTCCTTTATCAAACGCATCTGAGTCAGGCCCTGGGCGAGATACGCAGCATGGACCCAACTCAGGCTACGGGCAGTCGGGCACGGGTAACTGTCACAGGCCTTGGGCCTGATCCGTTTGGTCTGGGGCTCAGCCTCTCTGGGCCTACCGGAAGCTTCTGGGCAGGGGTCCAGCGCAGCCAGGCTGCACGCAAGGCAGGCTCGCCACTTCCATTTAGGAAAGGGCCTGCACACGCATTCGGCATTCGGGCACTGGCTGCATGCTGCACAAGCGCTGCTGCGCTAACGCTGGCCAGGCTCACGCGCTCACGGGCAAGCTGGAAGGAGCAGGCAGCCATAGCCGAGCTGTGCTGCTGTAAGCTGGATGGGGCGCATGGTGGTCCTTGGGTGCATGTGGCATCTGTGAGTTGAGGAACGAGGTTGTGAGTGATACAAGAGACATACCTGGTGCTTGAAGCGTACGGCATTGTCCGAGATCTGCTCGTACTTCGGGGAGCTGTTGACGTCATCAGCGGCATCGTAGAGTAGGCTAGATAGGATCTGCCATGTGTAGTCTGGTCGCCGAGCGCCAGATAGGATATCAACATTGGTTCTTCGTTGATGATGATGATGAGACTATTCCGGCATTGTCAATTATGAGCTTTCGGAGTGCTCTTATTTGGTGAAACTCGTGATGCAATTCTGCTATTGGTTCGAGGTCACGACTATCTGGTCTCATGTGTATGGTGCTGTTTGATTTCTGAAGTTCGCTATTGCTCATCTTCCTTGCACCTACATACAGCTATAACTGCCATTTCGTCGGAACGGACATTTTTTATTTTTTTGAACGAAATTGAAATAGAGTTTTTTGGCCGAACACTGTCCCCGTGGATGTATCCGGTCTCAAACTAAGTCCATATACATCCAGGGGGTCCAGCGTTTTAAGAACGCCGGACCCTCGAGAGCAGCAAATTTGGAACAGTTTTCAGCCAGCAAACTCGGTTTCAATTTCGTCCAAAAAAAAAAAAGAGTCAATTTTTACGAAATGGCACTTCTATAATGACCGTGCGTGCGTTGTATTCAGGGGAAGATGGTAGCTACCTACCTACCTACCTACCTACCTACCTACCTACCTACCTACCTACCTACCTCACTCTATCTGCATATTCTACACTCTAGAGTCTACACCATATTTCTAGTACCAGGCAGTTTCCAACGTGCAGGGAGTAGTACTAGGATTCTAGGAATGTTTTCTTACATCCTAGGGCACGTACATTTTACAGAAATGAATGGTAGATTATCGTGGTTTGCAGATCTCTTCATCATTTGAGATGCTCTCCATGGTGCTTCTGTGTGTTCAATACTTCTTTTTTTCTTTTTTTCTCCCGACTATTTTATGCGGGAGGAAAAAGAGAAGGTGTGGGGGTTTATAAGTAACAGGAACAAGCCATGATATCTATGACAGCACAGTTCTCCGTGGCCCCGGTTTGTTGTGCTGATGTATCAGTGAGGATCAGCGGGTTTGTTGTGCTACGGAGAACAAGACAAGACATGATGATGTCACTGATGTGCAATGGCAGTGGTCAGGTTTTTTTAGGGTCTGATTCTGGGGGTGGTAAGGGAAGCATTATTGAGGCTTGACCTGGCGGGGTGCTCCATCTATTGGCTTAGGGTCTGATGGGATCATACGTGATTGCATACCATTGACAATTATATCAAAAGAGTCCAAGCACTGTTTGTATCACCGTGAATCGCGGCAAGGCTCATTCGTGTCTATGGATATGAACTGCAACTGCCTGAGAGTGCTCACTGGGGTGTTCTGTTGCTCTTCTAATAATATGTCCTTCCAGCAGATCAGCCCGACTTGGCTCCAGCAGACCGCCCATGGAACAATAGCCAGAAGCAGCTGTCACTGGATGCCGTTCGGTCAGCCATACAGGTACAGCTCTGGTTGTGTGTGAGGCTCTTTCAAATTGTTTCTTTCTTTCTCGTTTTGGAAAATTTTTGGTTTTGCATTCATCTAAAAAAAACAGAACTTTGGGTATGCTTTGTTGGCTGGCCCTACCTCAGTTCACGACTTAGCTCCATGATCTTTCTGGATCATATTAATCGATATGTTATCTGTTCTGCAGACGTTGGCCTCGCTCTATCTCCACAACTCCACGGCGCTCAGTCTGGTAGATCTCAGGAGTTCGAACCAACGGTTGAGCTGTTGAGATCGGCCGAACCCAGAGCTCAAGCCTAAAAGCCCAAGCCCTTACTACCGGTAGTGTTCTGCAACTCTTTCCTCTGTAGACTCACGACGAGAGAGCACTTGGTTCTGCCTGCACACTCA